ACTCTTTCCTGCCTATGCAGGGGGTCGGACTCGATGATCTATTGAGGTCCCTTCCGACCCTAACATCTATGAATCTATGATTGGGCTGCAAGGGGCTAGATGTGTGAAACAACATTAAAGACACTGCACCTCAGCCAAATCACAGATTAACAAAAGGCAAGTTCTTACTCTGTAAGAGAAACACTACAATGAAGTACACTGTTGAGAGAGAGAGAGAGAGAGAGAGAGAGAGAGAGCGCGCGCGCGTGCGCGCGCGTAAGTCCGTGCATCAAAATCCAGTTTTCAGGCAATAATGTCAGATAGAGAGATTGTGTCTGCCTAGTAATTTATAATTAAAAAAACCAAAATAGTAGAAATAAAGCTATCCTGTTTAGTTTATTACAAAAAAAACAAAACCAACCTTCACCAACCCTAAAACCTTCTCTATATCCAATTCTCTAAAATAAATAAATAATAATAAATAAATCAGGAAGATCTTCTTTCTGGTAACTAGCTGAATTCTTGCAGAAGAGACGTTTTTCTTCCACAAGAAAGCCTTTGAATGTCTGTATATACTCTTTTTTTTTTAACCAGGAGAAAGGAGACAATGCAGTCTCAGGAACCACTCAAAAATGTTTTAGTTTTAGCTTATATTTTTGTTTTGTGAAAAATTCAGGGTTTGACAGAGGTGTGTGTTTTTTCTTCTCACTTACAAAAATATGTTGGACCTTTGTTTTTTGTAAAAATCTTCAAGTTCCAAAGGAAGTTGAGGGCAGATATTTGGAAGAGCTCTTAAGGAAGAAAGAAAGATGTGTTTATATACAGCTGTTACTTGACTGAATTGGAAGTTCTGTAACTGACCCATGTGTTGGCAATTCACACTTGTGCCACAATTAACAAATCAAGGTATTTGTTAAAAATATTTCAACACTTTAAAATGATAGATGACTACACTGTTTTTGGTGTATAGCTGGAATATAGTAAGCCGCACCTCAGACAATACATTTGGAGGCTTCATTAACCCACGTGACCTAATGGGATACCAAAACTGCAAAGTTGTATATAAAATGACAATATCAACATGGCACACAAATCTGGCTAGCTGATAATGACTAGACTGCATCACCCTTACTCAGGTTTTCAATAGAACTTTTGGAAAAATAAAGTACTATTTAATAATATTTAGACTGTTAACTCTTTTGAGCAGGGGCAGTCTTGTGCTGTTTGCACAGGGCCTGGTACATGAGATCCTGGTCCAGGGCTAGGTCTTCTAGACATAATGATGACAACAATGAGCTGAATGTGAATAAAGGTGACAATCTGGCTTTAAACATAAAGGTGAGTCTATACAAAAACTACAGCATATTAGAAAAAATGTTAAAACTAAAAAATTAAGCATTCATAATCCAGGAACTGCAAAATTAAGGGTGCATATATATGACACAGTACCCTATTTCTAATTAATGACTCCTATAACATCTATTAACTGCTAATTAATCTTAGGTTTAAGAATCTTAGACCAAATCAGGCACAATTATTTTTTAATTGCTTACAGCCACTGATTATGGTTTATTTTATATGTATAATATTCCCATAAAGAATTTATGGAACATCCTACATGGAGGAGTAATATAACTGGAAAGATCTTACATGTCTGTGTTGTATATACAAAAATTTACCATATCAAACACAAACGAATGATTAGCAAATTCTGGGAAAACCAGATGTACTTATATGTAAGAAAGACTTATAAACTGGTATCAGCATTTTTTCAACCTAATTTTTGACCTGACAGTCAATACCATCTCATTTTAGAGCCGCATTATGTGGTCTGCCTTACATTTCAAAGCCAAGATACAGCAGCAGCCTTTGATTAGAGGCATGTTGACAATGAGCAGAATGGAAGCATTTGTTATAAAGGAAATATTCAGTTATGAGCAAAAATACCTATATTTTTTTCGCTACTGGCTTGTTATTATGAAATGGTTTAGAACAAGTATACCAAGAGCAAAGCCCACATTTCAATGCAATCTTATCTACTAAAAAGTCCCAAGTGTCATGAATTACTCCATCAAGATCACAACAACTAATAAACTTTGTTCAAGGTATCCCAGTTCTGGTCATATGCAGCTCTTAGCACCCTCCCAGAAAGTTGCCAATGTGACTATTTGGGGAATATTTGAGTGATCTGACTTACTACTTAGAATTTTCTTATGCATAACTACATGCCACAAAAATACCAAGAAAATAAGTTGATGCTACCATAATTAATCTCTCTAATCATGTGATGATAAACACCACCACATGCAAGGTATATATGAGCAGCAAGTGCATTAGCTATCATATTCTTAAAGGGAAGCATCTCAGCAAACAACAGCAGCACAAAACTATAACTACATCAGCTGCTTAAGAAACCTTGACAAATGATAACCTGAAGTCTGAGGGTCCTGTGAGGAGCCCTTACTGGAAGACTGATCAGAGCTGGAAGACTGTGGTGCTGAACCCTCAGCTAGCTCTCGCTGTCTCTGTTGTTCGGCCTTCTTAAGCCTCAGCCGCTGCAGACCCCTACGAAGTATAGCTAACTCAGGTGCCATTAATTCTGACAGACAGGAAAAAGAAAAAAGGGTGTAAAAGAAAGAGGCATAGAACATACAATAAAAAGAATGTAAAAATGACTCAAGTATGAAGCAACAGCTATTAAGAGGAATAAAAGCAAAGTACTGACTTTATGAAGAAGGCTACCAACAACCAACAAATTAGAAACATAAAGAAAATGTGTTTAAATACGGGTTTTTTCTTCCTAAATGCATAAATCCCAGGAAGAGGTTCAGTATTCATGCTACATGATTGTTTCCTCTGCCAACATTTAATTTTCTCCATTTAACAGCTTAAATATGTATTGATCCATCAGATAAAGTTTAAGTCACTTACTTCATAAAGTTATTTAAATGGAATTTTGATATAACCCTTCCTTACAAATGGGAAAACATTTAAATTTGGAAAGGGGATTATGCACAAAGGTTGCAGGACATGGCTTCCGAAGAGCAAACAACAAGTTATAACAGTGTTCAACCTATTTTATGTTAGTCTTCATTTTTACTCTCCCAACTGTAAACCATAAAATAAATTTTAAAATACTGGAAGTTGGTCCCACAAAGAAGTAACTTAAGGGATCACCAAAGATTTCCTGCTAATGGACTGCTTAAAGAAACCTCTCATCAGAGACCAGTTTTGAAACCCAACTACTCTCACCATGTCCTCTTCTTCCTATTTACCAGTTATAGCTGCTACATTTTCCCTTTTCCTTCAAGAAACAGCCTACCTCTGGTTAACTGAAATCTACAATTAGGAATTTAAGTCTTTTCTCTATATGTTCTTACATTCCTCCTTATAGCCTAATATTCTTTATATTCTACTCCTTTTTATGCTTTGACAATAAAAAATAAGGTACAGAATGTATCTGTTGTTATTTATAGAGCAGCACATCTTCACATAAGCACACCACAATTTGCAGACATGAGGAAATCTGCTTAGAAAGAGAAACACCACTAGAAATGGAAATATTCTATTGCTTTATGCTTTAAAATAAACAGCATCCAAGGATCTCAAAGGCCTTCATAATTTTTTAGCTTTACAACCTCATGCAGTGAGGCAAACAGGGATTAGAACTTATTTCACAAAGTATACTGCTTGCCCAAGGTCACAAAACAAATCACTGGAAGACTCAGAACCTACTTGGATCTTGGGGCCTGACTACCCTAGTCTAGTATCACTTTTGCATAATACAACCAACCCTTCAGTGACTGATGAGGAAATGTGACATAAAGGAAAAGGAAAATAAATGTCTTAAAGGCATGAAAAGATGATTTACTATGAAGCGGGTTCACAAATGTCACAGGACTCAAGGTTTCTGGCTGCCTATACATGTGCAGTGGGGCTGATTCGAAGCGCTGTACTTGCAATGCGTTGGAGCAGACTCATTTAATTGAGTCTGCTGGAGCACGGTAATTACCATGCTCCAGCAGACTCCAGCGTCACATGGATCAGTGTCCCCAAGCTGAAAAATGGCAGCGGGGACACTTTACCTAACGCTCATTCAACAAGTTTTAGTTAAAGCACCCCACCACCATTTTACAGCATGGGGACGCTGATACACATAACATTCTAGGCGCTTTAATTAGAGCGGCTCTTGGAGCCTCTCTAATTAAAGCTCCTCCTCCCCTCCCCTCCTGAAGCACATGTATAAAGGCCCTCTGTGAATAAAACTTCAAGTCGCTTAAATTTTTTAAAAGGTTAGGCCTGAACTTTTAGATAAAATTCTAGTTTTCAACATGTGTTTACTGGTTTAGTTCTACTCCACCCATAAATCACGATCATAATTTCAAAAACCTATTCAAAATTACATCTCAAATTTTAAATGTTTTTTTTATATAAATTTTCACTTTATTAAATTGTTTTAAAATCAGTCAGAATCTTTGATCAAAAATGTATCTTGCCAGAAAACAGAGTGAGGGGGAAAGTGCTACACTACTTTCTCTTCTCAGTTCAAAATTAAGTGTTTTTAAAAATGCATGCATCTCTGGATTTCATTTTTTCCCTCCAATGAACTGATCACTTAATACAAAGAATGTTTGTGCAATGTAGAGCAGAGAAAAACAGTTAAATTACATTCTATATATGTGTTGTTGCATAACCTTGTAATTTGTAAGTAGCTTGAAAGAGTACTTATTCAAATTAATGTGAAAATTATCATGTTACTGGATATTGCCTAGCTTTTGTGAAGTGAGAAAAGCGAAGCAAAAACCAGTGCATTAGCTTTATAGCAATATAAACAACTTTTTGTAAATCATAAGGTAATAAAAGTTTCCAGCAAGTATGACTCCACCCACTAAGAAAAGGAAGGCTAGCTCAAGAGAAAAAACAGTTTCCTGAAATTTGGCTCATCAGCCAGGTTTACTGATTATCTGAAACACATTTAAGTGGTTTCAGCTGTACTTTCCTAACAGGATAACATGCACAGGCTTCAGATGAAGTGGCTTAATATGTGACCAGACTCCAAGTACTGTATTATTTTTGTCTTGGATACTGTCTGCAGAGCTGCATTTCAAAATTCTACAGGATATAATGAGCATTTCAAAGATAGGAAATCAGGTGTTCATCACATGGCGCACTGCTGAAAGCACAGCATGGCCAGGATTTAAATGTTTTTTACATTCAAGCATATTTACTTACAATTTCAAGGGACAGATTATTAGAAGGGCCTGTGGGGAATGTAGCAAATTACAGTAGTGAGGAATCGAAACTATTTGTCTAACAATCCATTCTCCTCACGAATTCATGCTCTATTTCTAAGAAAGTCACCCTGACCCACAACGTAGTGATTGACCTCAATTTCACACGTCACTAAAAACTGGCACTCCCCACTCCATCCAGCATCTGTTATTGCTTTCTCCATACTGATCCTAAAAGTCTTTTATTTTCTTCTTGATGTTTCCAAACCTGTTTCCCAGTAACATCTTAATCTATATATTTTGCAATCTTCTTCCACTTAGCCTTTGTCCTTTTCACCGTTACGTTCAATATACTGTTACTGGCATCATCTTTTTCTTTTCCTGTTACCCCACTCAAATCATTGCTTATGTTTTTTAAATTAAATTCTTCTTCCTTACCTTCACAATTCTGCTATTCAAAATCTTACCACCGTCTACATCTCACCTATACCTACTCTCTAATTTCAATCTCTTAGCCCCATCTCAATCCCCTTGCTTTACTGCTCTCTTGTTCCCATATTTATACCTTCAATCTAGTGCTGCCCTTTGCACCTAAATCTAGTGCTGCCCTTTGCACTCCCTGTCCTCATCTTCCAAGAGCCCTATTTCCTCTCCTTCAAAACTCTCCTTAAAATGCAGTTCATGTGATAATTATTTATAGTTTCCCCTCAGCAATAGGTTTTCTATTCACTTACTTTACTTACTCATTGTTCTGTATCTAAGACCAGAAGTTCCTTGCAGTCACGAACAAAGTATTTTCTATTTGTTTCCAGAGCTTAACATAAATGTATGATACTCAAGCGATTTCTAATAAATAAAAGCTTTAAAAATGCAACAGTAGTGGTGGTTTCAAATTCTGAGGTGCGAGGCTCCATCAGGTTTATTTTAGCAGTCATTTGAGATTATACAGTAAAAAAAAAAACAAAAAAAAAGAAAAAGAAATTCCTGACACACCATTGCATTCTGTCTGAACAAGCTGTAGGTATTAGCCATCAATAGATGTAACTTTATTATCCTAGGGAATCATGTTGTTCTTGATCAATAAGGTACTACTTGTAATCATTTATGTAAGGGGAACGTTAATAAATAAAAGGATGGCACTTTTCCTTTATTCATAATTAAACTAGCATCTGTATAAAACATTAAAGAGCACTGTAAGTATATACAGTGAGTTAAAAATGTCCATTGCTTTCAAAAACTTCTATGAAGTTTTTTCTAGGGAGGGTTGCTGCTTAATTTCCTGCTTAATGGAGCTCTGAAATTTTTAGAAATGCAATGGGAATCATGGATTAGAAAATAATGGCATCAGCCTGACTCCACATGCCAGCCTAAGAAACTATTCCTCTGAAATTCAGACCGATTCAGAGAAATGCAGAAAGGTATATTTGGTTAAGTGAATGTGTTATTTAGGAAAGAAACTAAATAAATGCTGCTACAGAAATATATTAAATTCTGATTTCCTGCATCATGATAATGTGGCCTGCAACAGGTCTCTTCCTTAATATGGAAAGTATGGCTCAGAACACAGCCTTCAGCATTGGAATTTGTGGTCTTTGGTGTTCATCTATCTCAAAGACCAGAATAGCTGAAACCTGTTGTATTTTACATAGGTGAGCTCTTGAGTTTTTGGCTGAATCACTGGTTGATGAAGTATCAACATTAACATGCTGTGAGCAAAAACTATGCACCACTGAAAACCAACCAGACTAAGTAATGTGGATTCCTTCATAGGAGGTAGCCTACTAGAAGGATGTTTAGAATCAGGTTCGTGCTACATGATTACATTCTCTTTAATAAATACCAGCTTAAATCTAACTTTCCACTCTTTTTGATATTTAGGCAGCAGCCCTGCTTTTTTCTGACACCTGTCTTGAGGTGGGAGTCTGGTTGCAGCAATCACAGCACACCAAATAAAACACTGCTATGTTATAACAGAAGCAGCCTTGTGATGACTGCTTCTCAGAGTGGGGGAAATAGGAAAATCTCATCTCTCTGTCACCCAAGCACATCCATTTAGGACCTGAGACAATCTCCTCCTCTGATAAAGATAACACACACCGCCTGCAACAAATATCAGATTGACAATACTATGTAAGGTGCCCTCTCTAACTCAAGTGTTCAAGACAAGAGCAGGGCATCAAAAAAAAAATCTTGTTTCTTTCCCTCCTCCCCCTGAATAAAAAATACACAACTTTACTTATTTTAATGTGTGTGCTAGTTTGAGCCTTAGGGTACAGTCAGGTCTCCATATTTTGTCTATATAAGCACAAGACAAAAAAATCCTCACTTTTAAAAATAAAAATGGAAGGGGAGATCCTTATATAAACTCTTGAATGAGGCAACTGGGGATCTTAAGAAATATACCAATTATCATAAGAAAATCTTAGGCAGTCACAACATTGTTTATAGGTAGCATCCATGGGCCACTTCTATGCCCTTTACAGGTTTGCAGGACAAGCAGCCTATTAAGGTGGTAACTGCTCTCTCTCCTAATAAAAGGATCACTGATATTACCAGTGATCTTGCACCAGTGACAGAACGGGCTGGAGTCAGAACAGAGCTGTTCAGAAAAGCTTTTCCTTATAGCCACACTTCGGATGATCAGGTAGCAATAGACGTACCTAGTTTGCATTCAAGGTTATAAGTTCAACTACTAAAAATGTACTAAAGCGAAAACTTATTTTTGTATTCTAAATTTTCCCAATAAACCATACAGCACTATTTCTCCTCACCAGACTGATGGAGCGTAGGTTGAGCAGAGGCCTCCAAAGACAGCCTTTGTTCGTTGTCAGGAGATGACAGTAAAGAGGTTGAGGGTGGGCTTTCCATTGAGGAAGATGTTGAAGGAGCTTGGGCTGACATGGTAGAGGAAGATGACGATGGAGGTTGTTCAGGACCATCTACTTCCATTGCAGTCTCCGACTCACCCCTTGGTGGCACACTGCTAGTAACAGGGGCATCTGGACGACTGGCCCCACCTTTGGTTTAAAAACACACAACAAAAAACAAACAAACAAAGCCAAGAACAACCCCGTCCTGCCAGTAACCTACTTTAAAAAAAAGACCTTTTGCATTATTATTTGGCACATTATATGCTCAACCCAGTATACAAAACACTAACTAAAATAAAACCAGTCTGCCCCCAAAAGCTTATATTGTAAATGATCATAGATATCTAACATCTCTTTTACTGCTTCCCATCAAGTTTGTTAGACTATCAACATTTTATTAATCCTTAATAAAAAAACAAAAATAGTCTTGTTCCAACCTATTTTTCTGAAGGAGAATTACCTCTTGATCGAGATCTTCCACGCCCTCGGTTGCTCTGAGCAACTTCACTAGCTTCTTCAAACCATCTTGACAGCATGTCTGACATCCTCTGCATTAGCGAGACGTTAGGACTTTGCTCCCCTGTAAATACAGAAATGCTAAGAAAGAATTCCAGTGCATTCTTTCTTTTTCCATATGAGAACAGTGCTGAAGTTGCATGAGATGATGGAATCCTGAGAATGAAGTCTATCTTTCAGAACAAAATTACCACATTTTAACTTGAAATACAATTTGAGCACTGAATTTTCTTGTTTTTATTTTATTGATATAGGACATTTTTACTAGACTGTACTTTCAAAAAGTGTGAGCTGGGGTGAAAGATGGGGAAGACTGGAGTTAAAATGGAACTAGCAGGAGATAGTGTATTTACCTGAATCCATGATGTCTGTAAGACAATCCCCAATAATTAGTCTATACATGGGAAAATATAAATTTATTATAATTTTCCATGTACAGGTTTCTAAGTATTGCAGATATCTCTTAAATGTTTTTTCCCCACCCCACCCCACCCCACCCCACAAGTGCTGTGGCAGGGAAAGCAACATCAGGGGCTGAGGGGCCAGACCCCAAGGCCCTTACCTCTCTGCCTGACCCGCTTGCCCTCGCCACGCCTGTGCCTGCCCCCCTGCCACTTGCCCTATTACAATAGATCCTAGAAGCCTAAGTCAAGATATTGGAAGGAAATATCCATGCACCTAAGGAGAGAAGGACAGAGTGCTATATGGAGATGACAGCTTACAACAAAAGGAACAGCAAACATAAATGGATTAGTTCTTGAAAACAGAGGAATCATAGAATCATAGATAATTAGGGTTGGATAGAACCTCAGGAGGTCTTCCTGTCCAACCTCCTGCCCAAAGCAGGACCATTCCCCAACTAGATCATCCCAGTCAAACCATATCAACCCAGGATAAGAGGAGAAAAATGAAAAAAAATGTGGCCAGATTTCAGGGAACTAGTCCAGCTATTTTTCAAATCTTTTCCACATTAGATCATTGCTGATTGAAGAAAGATAAGTTTAAACTGTGTTACAATAAAAGTAACATAAGAACACAGAAGGAAAAACAAGAAACAAGATAAAAGGATATGTGAGAAGAAATAAAACTAAAAAAAAATTAATGTGATTTATGGGTTTTAGGATTATTGGTAAAAGTATTGTACAAACACAAAGAAAGGGAGTAGGGATGGCAGTTGAAGCAGAGAATATCAGATAAATTAACTCCCAGAGCACATGTATAAATGCCCAGTGGTTCTCCCAGTAGAAACATAATGCTTGTGTGCACCCTGAGTAATACTTTACAGAGGCAGGAATTCAAGTTAGTTTTTAACAACTTAATCGTGGTTACTCATGAGGCAGTAACAGAACCAGTATAGGAACCCTACTGATATGACCCAGCATCTCCTGATTTTACCGTTATAAAAGTATTTCCTCTTGTACCCTTACCAGTACTTAAGGCATGAACTACATTATGAAAATTCACAGAGATGAAGCTACGTTAATATAATACAACAAATACTTGGGTACCACTTACATATGCCTCAATTTGTAGCCCTCATTTTAAGGTAAATACAGGGTTGAAACAATACCAGTAAGAATGGCCTTAACGTAGACAATGATCTCAAAATTGCTATATTCAATACATTGTCAATTCAATGTGTCAAATTATGAATAAAATATTCTAAAATTAGACACAACTCATAAAAACTCAGGGTAATTTTTATCTTAACTATACATACACTTCAGGAATACTAACAAAAGAAACCCAACCCTCCTTTCCCCACACGTTACCATCTCTTTCGCGTTCACTCTCAGGCCTTGCTCTCGGTCCTGTATCTGACCAATCACCTCTTAATCGCAGTCGTTTAACAGGAGGCTGCCGCAACTAGAATAATAAAGATAAGGAGGGACATTACCCAAACACAAAACTTATTACTCAATTCTTCTCTTTTATATATGTAAGTAATTACTGAATGATAACCTGTGTCTACAAATAAAATAACACTAGTAGGAAAAGCATGATTTGACCACAAAAAGTCAAAAAGTCCAAAAATACACAACATATACATTAAGCACAATGCTATATTCAGACATTAAGGTTCACTTTAGCCATACAAAGGTACAACAATTCCAAGCTAAGTTCTGCGTGCAACTGAGTCTTTGTTCTTTGTGTACAGATTTTTTAGCATAATTTACGTAGTAATAACTTTAATGCATTTATCAAAATGTGCATATTACATAGGAAGTTGGGCCTACATTCTGAAGCAGGGTAATTGTATTCAGCAGCTTTCCATTGTACCAGACTAGAAATTCTAAGGCAACTTCCATTTTTACTCTAATTGGAATTTCTAACTAAATGTTAAATCAGCAAGCATGGTAACTTCTTGCAATTATTTTAAAATACTAAATGCAATGTATTTCACCTTTCATTTTGGATTTTCAGTTAGATACAGATTTCTGCATTAACTATATGCCTGGGGAAGTGTAAGTCTTAGTGGTTTGGTAAGAGGCATCTGGATCTTTAAGCACCCAGGAAGGTCAGTTAGGAGTTAGCTGGATATTTCTATCTAAACAATCAAAAGTGAAAGAGTGGTGCTGACACTTATCTTAAATGTCTGAATAAAAAAAAAAAAAAAGAGAGAGAGAGAGAGAGAGAGAGAGAGAGGAAAGGGGTGGGGAAAATTCATGGCAAAAGCCTATTGCTTCAAGAGTCTGCAGACTTGGAAAGATAACATTGTACTGCTTCCATCCAATAGCGTTACTAGAGTGAGGGCAACAGGGGCAACTGCCTCAAGCACCAATGGGGGTGTGGGATGAAAAAAAAATGGCTTTCATCACAGCTGAGTCATCACAATTGCAACTGCGACCATAGTGGCAACCGGAAGTTACTATTGCCCCTGTATGCAGCAGCTGCCCCAGGCGCCTTGACAATGCGATGCTGCTACTTCCAACCTAGTCACAATTCCAAGATTATCCTATAAAACTGAGGGTTCGAAACATACGTTTTAAAAAATGAAAGACATGATCCTGTAGCAAAATTCACTGGCAAAAGGGAGATTCCAGGACAAACCTGCAGAAATGCCAAATACATAGATCCTTGTTTATTAACACAGTTAAAAAATGGTTGTTGCAAGCTCCTTCTCCCCAAAAAGCATGGCATCCAAGTTGCCCATCACTCACCCAGATTACTTCTATATCATAGAAGCTGCAGTTACTGTAGTGCCTCTTTACTTTGCTTTATTCACTATGTCAATTTGGGCTGCTGCCTTTACTTTCTCCTATGGCAGCCACCAGTACTTTAGCATCGGCCGGCAGAAACACAGGCTATTTATCTTCAGTTCTATACTATACATGCAGCAAGCATTAAGTCTGATACTATAATGCTTACATTATTGATGGGAACATGCTTTACAGGATGTCTAAGAATCAAAACGTTGCTGTGGCTACTCTAGATTAGAAGAAAATGTGTCAGTCTACTTTTTCTTTTTGGATCCTTCTGCCGGTGATACTTGCTGCAGAAGTAAATGTCTCAATAGATGCCTGTCCCCTTGTTAAAAATACGTTATACCATTCTCAATCTCTCATTTGCTTCCATGATAAATGCTGGCATTTGACTTCCTTGTACTCTCATGTACTGACTTGAGGAAATAACTAGGAGAGTGGTCCCTTCCTAATCACAAAAGGCAAAGGGATATGTCATTAGACTCTAAAACTATGCACTACTGAGAGATGTAGTTCACTGTGTTAGCCTGAAGTCAAGCAGAAGGCAGGATACATTTACACTTTACAGACTAACGTGTGTGTGTGTGTGAGCGTGTGCACTTCAAGGGCTGAAGACCACTTCATTAGATGTTGTGAAAGGACCTGCACAAAACAGTGTACAAGAAGAGACACATTTGAATACCAAAAGTAGAAGAGAAGGGGAGAGTGGGAGAAGAGAGAGTCTGATGAATAAGTAGTGTTCCACATTCTCAGTTTTTATGGGAATTTTTGGGGATTTATCTTCAAAACATAAAAAGCAAGATGAAAATTGGGGAAAAAGGAGGAAAAGGGAAAATATTAATTTAAAATGGGGGGTAAAGGGCAGTGAGGGAGGGAGGGGGAGAGAGAGAGAGAGAGAGAGAGAGAGAGAGTAAGGCTGGGACTAGAGAGGGGACAGGGGGAAGGACACAGCACAGCCTGTCGGCCACTCCCAGAGCTGTAGCAAGGAGCAAAGCATAGGGAGCTGTCGGTGGGTACAGGGCACAGGGGCATGGGTCTTGCTACTGTGTGCCCCCCAGGAGGACTAAGGGGCTGTGCCAGGCTCTTCCCAAGGGGGTGCATTCCCCTGGGTCCATGCACAGGATGAGAGCAGGTTGCCACCTGCCCCAAGCACAGGGAAGAGCCTGATGCTGCCACTGGCACTAAGCTCTTCCTGGCTCTCAGGGCAGGTGGCAGCCTGGACTCGCTGAAGCGGGCTGCCACTGCACGCTTGGGCTGGCAGCAGCACCGGGCTTTTCCCAGTACTCAGGACAGGCAGCAGCACCGGGAGGGCGGGGGAGGACCCAACCCCAAACCCGGAGCCTCCCAGGATCAGAGCTGGGAGCCCTGTGGCACCGGGCAGTGGCTCCAGCCCCACGGGTGGGTGCTGAGCATCTAGGTGCAGCCCCCTGACACTGGGAGCATGTCATGTTGATTAATAATGAGTGTTCATAAAAACCTGGACAAAAAAAGTCACTGATTATTAATATAATATTGACAATGAGAATTTTTTTAAACCAAAAAGTTCTTACTGAATTAAAATACTTGAAAGTTTTTGTAACCTACTGCATACATAATGTTGAATTTATGAAAGATACATATTTGAATATTTCATAATGATAAGGTTGTACAAAGCTTGTAAATTATAAGAAACAAACATGATTTCTCTCTCTCATCTCAGGTATACGGCAAACAGAAAAAGCTAAGTCATATTTGTTCTTCAAACAATCTGATTTGAAAAAACATATCAATGAGTTTCTAAAAACATGTCTGTTGATCCTGCTTGTTGCTATTTCTGTTCTGAGAAACATTCTGTTATCACACATGGCTGCTTCTAAACCTAGAGTAGAATTTCAGATTAGCAAACTGTTCCAGAGCATTTAGCAATTCCCAGCAAAGTAAAACTTTTGCCAATGCTGCATGTAAGGACAACTGGCCTTAATGGGAAACTATTCAAAATTCCAGCACCATGGAACAAACTTCACACCAAGCAGAGGGTCAGTGTAACCAGAATGCAATTTGTTAATTAAATAAAATTTAAGTCTTTTGTTCTATTTTACTGTAAACAGTATTTATTACAAATCCAATCTTAAACATATCCATGTGAGGCCCAAGGCATTGGGAAACAATTTCTACATTAACAAGCAGGTGAACAACTTTTCAGGGGAACTCTTCATACCCATACTTGCCCTGGATGTCCACAGAGTTGACTACAGGGCAAGATAAAATAGGAAGGACAAACAAACATGAATACCGTTACATAAATTAGGTGTAATTACTAGACTTACGTACAGGCAAGCATGGCCTCAACCCAATATTAAAGCCTGCCTTCCCTCTTTTCAATGTTTGACAGTATCGGTAGCCAATTAAAACCCTTAATTTAGGAGGTTCTGCTCTATTTGACAGAACTAGGCTCTTTAATTAAAAAAAAAATCTCTGTTGCATTTTACCTTTTTTTTTTGTTAAGTGTTCTTCTCTGTCTAGATTACAGAACTAGTGACAAAACAAGGCAGTTCAAGCATTTTCATTTAAGCACCTTGTTTTTTAAGACTTGTATTTTATTTAAAACCTTGGATTAAGGGAATTGCTTCAGTTCTCTAAGATTTTTTTGAGCTATACAAGTTGAACCATCCACACAGAGGACTGACATTGATGGTCTTATGTCTGCACAACCTATGCAATGGTGCACAGCCTTGTGTTTCCAGGGCTCTCCCATATAACTTCCATTTCAGTAACACTGCCAGTATCTGTATCTCCAAACAGTCCACACTATTTTTGCTCCTCTCAAGTGGCAGAGCCACAGGTAAGATGTTTTTAAAACCATACATCTATGAGGCTTAACTATTTTCACTGAAATTAGAGACCTGAAAAGTTTGCCCAGAAGTCCTACACACTGGCAGGTTTTATGGGTAAACAGGGAGTTTCTTCAGCTTTATGAAATATTGTTGGGTCTTATAGGTTTAACTGTATACATTGAGGAGCACTGACACTGGTGACCTTATGCCTGCACAACCTACAGAAACCATTGTGATGACTATGAACTATCAACAGGTAGAAATGAAACCTAGGTAGGGACTGCAAATCCTTAAGTAAAGTACAGTATCCAAAATCCAGGGCCGGTTCTGAGAACAGACCAGGACATTTCTAAAAGGATGCATACATTTGTAGTTTGTAACAGGTACCAAAATGACAGGTTTTTGAGGAATATGCACCAGTAATGCAAGCACCACCTCCCATCTAAAGTGTCTTGACTCTGCTATGGAAGGACTAGCTCTGTGCCCATTCTAACTTTGGCTTTTAATGAAACTGTCAACACAGGTGGCTAGCTAGTATTAATTGTGCTTTTTTGCAACATGAACTGTGGGAATTGCACTGAAATCCTCAATTCATTTTCCATAAGTTACTGAAAAGTCACCAGATGGTAAAACTGGATTTGGACAATAAGTGGACTATTCTCCATCTGAGCTATCAACCACAATGTAACTTAGCAAGTTGTCTCACAAAAAATAAACCTCCAAAGTATTACCTACATTTTCCAACATACTTCTTAGATCTTGGAAAATAATAGGTCAAATTCTTCTCCGCTGTTAAGGCACACTAAGTAAAAATAGTGAAACAGGTATAAAAAGTTCATCCTACTGAATACTCACCTCTTCTCTTCTCTCTTCAGCAGAAGGAACTTTAAGTTCTCTTGCTGTGTCATCCTTGGGATCAAATAAGTATATGTAATCTGAAGAATAGCTAACAAGGATCTCCTGACCATCATCGCTGTAGCATAAAGATGTTACCCTGCAGGATTTGTTATTAAGGTGTGGAGGAACAAAACGTGCAACCATTCCAACTGTGCCCCGGCCAGCATAATTACCTAAATAGTAAAAGCAAAAGAACATGAACTTATTTTGACACATTTTCAATTAGCAAATGCACTGTTTAACAAGCAAAGTCTGAATTATTGCTAGGGAAGTGCCAGACATTTTGTAGTGTCCACATTTTGCTAAATATGAAATGAACAAATGCCAAGTCAGATCTTTTATCTTGTGTGTGCTTTAATAGAGAAAGAAATATAGAAACACACACGCACATGCGCACAACACATTATGGGAGTGGAAATGTTACCAACAAAAAGAATGCTTACAATGGAAACAATTATTTAAATGCATCTGGATCATCTCATTTATGGACATGGTGATGTACATCTGCACACTCAGCACTCCTTCCCTTTAATATTACACAATTGCATAATAAATTACCATGCTCCTTTGACTAACTCATCTATGATCTACCCAGTAATTAAACAGTCTTTAATAAAACAGAAAAATCATACATCATTCACAAACACTGTTTCTATTTGCCACGTGAGGCTTTCCCCCCAGAATTATAATGGCCAACCAGGAGTAACATTCAGTCTTTGACCAATGGCAAGTTCAATGCTTACTATCTCACCACCTAAGGCTAAAACTGATCCTTCATATCACTCCAAGTAGGCTGGAATTCTGCTTTTAAATAAGACAACATTAATTTTTCTGTACACAATAACTTAGTGATTCTAGGGGCTGATCCTTCATGATTAGACTGGATAGGTTAAATATTTTCTTTTCTAAACTTAGCTTTCCCAATAGGTCTGAGCTGGAAACAAAACAGAAATAAGGCTTTGCAAGCAAAGAGATATATAAAATTCCCCTGAAACCAAAATAAAATTTTGGTTTCTCTTCAGATTGTACAGGTGTAACCTTAATATATGATGCTGTTGTGTACCACATGTTTAACTGGCATTTTTTGGGGATGACTGAACTCCATTCAGGAGTACTAGGAAAAAATAACTGAATTAAATATTTTTTGCTATACTGCATAGTGCTTTAGAGATTAAAAAGACAGTTCTTTGCTCTGAAGGCCAATTTTCCTGCCCAACTATTTGGCCACAGTCATGCGTGAAAGTGTTACTTTTTAACAACAGGAAGAAGTATTTCCCCTCTATTCCTTTTATCAAATATTTTTTCCCCTCAAGATTCCAAAACAAAACCAATTACCTTCCGGCAAAAAACCAGGACCATGTTTCACCCAACATCTCAAGTTTCATCATTTTAAGAGCAAGTTAAAAAGGCTTTAAAATGGAAACACTCTGCCAGATTTAGCTATAGATACTGCTACATGCTCTGCTATAAATTCATATGTGCATATATGCAAAATCACCCCTTCACTAGCTGTTAGATGTAACCTAGTGTATTTTATTTTTCTAGGCAGGGACTTGTTTTCCCAAGGGAGAAGTTACCCTCCAGTCAAGAAGAAAGAAAGCAGTAGATGCTTCATGATCAGGACGAAGGTTAGTGGCATTAGGCATTTGAAATCTACATGCCTGAACGCAAAACGTGCACAAGCTATGGTACCATTTAATAAAACTACCATAAATGCAGGAAGAGCAAACAATAAGGCCTGCATATCTTGCTTCTCCTAGTGCTCATAAACCAAAAGCTAGCTGGCTAGCCACTTGATGGTAAAAATGCTTAGTTCCCAGACACCTACATCAGAATATATATACTTCCCATGTTCTAAAGTAAGAGTGGTAAATTGCCATATACTCAAATATAAGATGAACTCCAATAATCAATTATACTCTATATATGGGAAAAATGATAAATGTTACAATTTTCCAGGTACAGAATCTAAGCATTGGAGGGCTGTCTTGACCCCGTCCCCAAAACTGCTACAGCAGGGAAAGCAGTGGCAGGAGGCCCCCCTTGGCCCCTACCCTGCCCACTTATTCCCCCCCTGCAGGCTTCCTGCCCCCTCTGCACTTCCCTATCCCCAGTGCCTCTGCCCATCCCCACCCACACACCACCTCTTCTTCCTCCTTCTCCCAGTCTCTGCCCCTTCCCCCACAGCACATGGAAGCTCAGCCCTTACCTTACCATGCAGCAGTGCTGGCGCTAATGTTTGGCCAGGCAGGCAGTGCAGCAGTGTTGGCACTGCTGATTGGCTGTGCAAAGGAAGGCGTTTCCATGTGCTCCCTGCCCAAGGAGAAACCCCAGCCCCAGCAGAGCCAAGCTGCACCTGACAGTGAGGGGAAGGAGAGAGGGTGGGTAGGGAGGGAGACAGAAGCTGCAGAAAGGAAGTGGAGAGGGGGCAAGAGACTGCTGTGAGTCTCACTGTTTCAACCCAGGCTCATGACCAGAGTTGGAGCTGCAGCAGCTGCCTGCTCCCCGACTCCACTTCATATGTAAATGTCAGACAAGGGGCTTTTTTCCCCATGCTGAATGGAGAGGGAGGGTTGTTTTATATTGTAGTAAATACAATAGATCATTTAATCTACCATCTTACCTTAGACACTGCGTAATAACTTTAGACAAGAAGTGGTATGGAGTGAGAACTACTGGAAGAATAAATACTTTCTACAAGATTCTACAGAACTCACGAGATCCCTTTGTGTAAAAGACAATAATGGATTAAAGACATCCAAAGCTGGGCTGAAACGGCTGCATCCTATCTGTACTTTACTGAGCTCTCTAGTTTAGTACAGGTATGACCACCACATGATCTACAAGTGCAGGCATGCAATGCTGCACCTTCATAGATCTATGTAGAAATTACATAAATCAAGACGGAGTGTTGTCTGCTGAAATCATCAGGTGGCTTCACATTCCCAAATAAGGCTAAAAGACACAAACTCCATGGTGCTGCACTAAACCTTCAGAAGCTCTTTGGCCACCTAAGGAGGAGAGTTTCTTTGCAGACTTCAAGTAATCTTTCAAATCCTTTCCCTGCAGGCTGTAATAATTACTTTTTTGGTGCCCTAACATAGGATTTATTATTGCAAGAATGCTTACATAATACAGAAAAACTATAAAAAAGCCGGCTTTTAAAAAAACTACAGCAACCCAAATGGTCTAAGGTTAAGCAGAGGGGGGGGGAGAGGGGGGGAGGGATGGCTAACTACCTCTACCTGATGTTAGAAAAGGTTATTTATTTCATGTGCATTTCCTACCAGTTGCTCTCGTGCCAAGCATTCGCCGATCATATATTCTTACTGAGCTATCAGAGCAGCCCACAGCAAGGTAATATGGTATTGGTGGACAGATGGCTACAGAAGTGGCAGCACGCCGGCAGTTTATTAAAATATCCTGGAATAAAACAAAAAAAAAAAGGCATTTAATATCCCCATACCATGTGAAGTATAATTCTACCCAAAAATTTTTAGAGAAGGGGCTGCAAGATTGCTGCAAAAATCAAGATCTGGCCATGGAAAGATAGATGGCAAGAACATGCTACAAGGGAAGAGCAGAGGATGAAAATGATCAGAGAGCAAAACAGTATGAAATCACATTCAACCCAACAATGGGAGGTGTAACAGTACAGAAATACAAACTGTTCTATTAAAATTTTCTTGTACAGAAGGAGAGACCAGGAGGTGGACAGCAAGAACCACAAAATAGACAGCACCTATCTAAGCTAATTTAAAAGGCTTAGAATAGATTTGATTTATGGACAGATAATTGGATAGTAGAATTTCTTATAGCAACAATAATGTAACAAGCTTAGGGACCAAACATAACTAAAACCTAAAAAGATATGCTGTGAAAAATACAGACAAGAAGACGGAGAGAAATAAACGGTACAACGTGCACAATCCATGTTCCGAGATCAGTTTATCGTGTTCAGGGCCAAAAGTTTTTCTGGAACACAAACACTATGGACAAAATTAGCACTTTCTAGGGTGCTACACCTCCAATTAAGGTGGTCTTATATATTCACTACTCCACCTTTTTTCTATGTTATTACAGTAAGACAGAGACTGATCAATTATTTAACATTTTAGCGGAGTTTCCATTTAGAAACTCAATTTTCAACACCACCCCTATACTCCACAAAAGTCATAATACCCTCAAAATTGGTGAGTTTAGAGGCAGAATTTTTCGACCAAGTCTGAAGTAAACTGAATCAGGTTTGATGCATCATAATATCTTAAAACGCTGCAGAGATAGACAAGCTTTCAAATGCAGTGCATTCTAAGTCTAGTCCAACAATGCAGTTGGCCCAATAAAAGATATCACCCACAGAAATCCTTGCCACTTGCACATCTCCCAGACCATCATAGATACATCACAGATGCACCTGCACCACCAAAACTAACTTCTGTTACTATGTGATTTAGTCAGCTCATTAGGAGACTTTAAAATCTAACACACAGCTCACATGATATTGATGGGGTTCACATTCTGAATGTTCAGAATGTGGTCACATATTTGGGTCACTGCTATTAGAACATGCAATTCTTACATCTTTGCAATCTTCTTTTGTGCAACTTGTCTTGATTCGAGTATCAAACCACCTTACAGTGCCATCCTCACCACAAGAGAGAAAAGTATAGGGATCATTTGGTACTGTCATAATCTGTAATAAAAAAAAAAAAAAAAAATCAGAAACATTATTTTTTCTTGAAACAATATAAAGTTTATTTCCAAGTTTTCAGTACTTGTGAGCAAGAATAAGCACTGATTCTTAGCTGTGATGAAGATTTCTATGAAAATAATCAAGAGCAAATGAAATATTGCATTTTCAGCAGTTTTAATTATATATTTTTTAAAAATCCAGTCATGAAGGAGCTGAAACAAGCTAAACAACACTTCCATTTTCATTTGATAGCCGAGTTGCACATTATTTTCAATTAAATAATTACCATTTTAACTATAAATAAAACTCAAGTGCAGTCTATTTTCTATTATGCAACAAGCTGACATTTTAATAAATCAAAATACCTAGTAATGCAGAATTGTCCACACTATTAAGTCCATTAAGTCCACACTGTTATGTTAAGTACATTAACTGGTACTGCTCCTCCAATTCAAGTTGGTCTTTTACTTGCAAAATAATCCCCCTTTGAACAGTAACAAAGTGAGGTCTATTTTTAATCCTCACCCTTCAATTCATTAATTATTACTCTCTGCACTTTTCTTTAATAGTAGCATTACACCATTTTTGATCACAGAATTACTATAATTTCCTAAGAATATGGTAATGACAGCAGCATTTTTTACATACATATATATATTTTCTTGCAGTATTTTTCAAGATACTCAATTTACACAGAATGAAGTATCCAAAGTTACTTCATTTTTCTAGTTTCCAAAGCTTAGAACTGCTATTAAATTCACTAGATTCTTTCCATATATTTGTTGGACTGCACCACCCTTCCTATTAGGTTTTCAGATGCCTTTAACAAATAGCTACCACTTCATACCAAGTCAGGCATATCAGAATTTACCTTTCAGCCTACTGAAAAGAGCAGCTACTGCAAATTACTGAATTCAGACTGGCAATCCTGCTTTTACCAAAGTCCGTGGAAAAAATCACTTCTGGCCACACCTGGCAACCATTTCAAGCTGCAGGCCAGAATACCTGAAAGCAGGTTAGGTGGCTTTCTCTGCATCCACTCTGGGCCAGACAGCTGAACTGCAGCTGAGAGGCAGATGTGGGAAGGGAGAGAGGAAGCTGCAACAGTATGAACACAGCTGTCTGGACCCAGCCCAGCTCCACACTGGCTGGAAGTTGCATCTGCTCCCAAACCAAGGGGAGGGGAGGGCACAGCTAGAAGATGACTGGTACCAGAGCACCTCCTCACTGCTGAGCCCTGGCACAGGCATATGCAAAGTCCTCAGGCTCTACAGGCTGGCTCCACTGGCTGTGGGCCGGATCTGACCCATGGGTTGTATGTTGCTGAGCCTCATCCTATGGGGTTAATGCCCTAAATGGACAACACCAGGCAAAAGCAATAATAATTCAGGAAAAACACACTATGTGCATTTATTTCAACAGCTATGATTTAGTAGTTTTCATTATTTTATAATATTGCAATTTGTAGGTATCAAAATTTTGGGGTTACACACGCACACACACACACACAAAATGCACTTTTTAATATAAACATCACTAGCTCTGATACCCTGTGACTACCTCTATAAACATGAACCTCAACATTGGTAACTGAATGTTAGTGTATTGACCCTGCTGTGTTTCAATTCTAAATTTAAAAAAGATTTACCGATAAAAAAAAATGGAATACAAAGGTAAGAATTATCTTTATAAGTACATTCTCTCTTTTTAAACAGAATTAATGTGAATAGCAGCAAAGTCAAGTACCCGAGAGTGACTAATTCATCATTTTTAAATTCCCTGACATAACTACAAATACTCCCAGAACCCATATTGTGAATCTCTTCAGCTCTCTCCTACTGTTTTTAAAATATTCCATAACTCCCTTCTCCCTTACGTTGTCTCACAAAAAAATTATACTCCTTGCAAATTCATTGAGCTGCCTTATTTTTATTTGGTGTAAGTCATGATCTGAAATTACTACAAGCTTCATAATGTAAGCTCAAGGCCAGTTAAAATCTAGTTGGCCATTTAATTTAGGACTACTAACAGAGGCCAAATTATGTCAGCTTTTGTTATTTAAAGAATCCAGTGAGTCAAATTCTATATTTAATATGAGGAGGCAGTTAAATACAGTTGAAAAACAGTCATGCAGCTTTAACACATTTTCTCCCCACAGTCAAAAATGTGTTTAAGCAATATTAAGTTTCTAACTAACTTACAATACATGAATTCAATGTACTGAAATTCTTTGTTACTACCTCCAACTTACCCTTTGCTTTCATGTTTCAGGAATCTAAAAAAATCAACTCTTGCTGTACCATGCAACAGCATGTGTTTCAACATTTGAGTACAACTGACAAGTTAGTTGAAACCTGCATCATTCAGATATGTGCTGATTAATTCTTCCTACTATATAGATGTACCTAAATAATAATTCATGATGGAAAAATTCATGGTGTTTAGAATATTTATTTTTTTATAGGATCCATACTACTTAACCAAAATATTGTGAACATGATCCTCAGTGAGAGTGAAAAAGGAATGCCATTTATTTGCTCCTTAAGACAGTCATCCTCTAACTTTTCAAATTTGAAGCACCCCTCAAAAATATGCCAGCTCTTAAATTTTCACTCATTTTTGATCATAGAAAAATAATAGGACAATTCTATTCCAAAGAGCTTAAAAAGACCACAGGGGGCGTGTCCGGATTAACACGCACGTGCCTCTTGCCCCATCTCAAACCCCTTTGAGATAGGTCAAGAGGCACACACGGGAATGATAAAACGTTCACTACGCCGCAAGTTTGCAGTGCAGGGACAAAATCAGACACATCCAGGGCTCCAAAAAAACTGCTCCACAGGACAGTTGGGCAAGGCACAGTCCCAGACTGTGCCTGGAGCCAGCAGGGAGTCAGTCCTCTAGGAGAGATGATCTGATTTCTGGCCAGAGCATCTCTGTAGTGCTTCTGCTGCCCCAGCATTGTCAAAAGTAAGTTACGGACATGGGGTGGGAGTGAGTGGGTGTGAGGAGTGGCAGGGGGGTGTTGGAGGGGTGTCAGGAACTGTTGGGGGCTATGGGGAGTGGAGGGGGATGTCAAGGGGCGGGGGGAGTTGCGGGGGGGTGCGCTAGCCCCCCAGTGTGCGGGGCTGGGGACATAGTAGCCCATGTTGGGGGGGGCACCGAAGCAGCTGTGGTGAAGCTAGCAGTGCGCAGCAAGACCCGGCCCAGCTCATTAGTCCAGCTTTGCACCAAAGCAGGTTGCACGGTTCCTGGAGCCATGCAACCCGCTCTGGTGCAAAGCCGGACTAGTGAGACACACCAGGCTGGGTCAGGTCCCACCGTGCACCACCTCCCTGCAGGCACAGAGGGGCAGGCAGCGCTGCTGCCGGAGGCAGGACTCGGCACGGTGCACAGGGACAGTGCACCCAGCCCAGCTGGGTCCTGTCAGCCCTGGGGCCACTTGTGTTGCCCAGACTGGCCAGTCCCATAGGGCCACAGGACATGACTTGGCTCGGCATGCGGTTCCCTAGAGTTGGCAGCAGCGGCCTCAGAGCGCCCACTCCCACTGCTCCTGCAAAAGGTAATTTATGGGCCGTGCGCTGGGGGGGGCCCCCCAGCAATTGCCTCATACCTACCCCCACACAAACCCACATCCCTCCACACACACACCCACCTGCCTCCCCCACCTCTTCCTACCCGTTTCCTGCAAATGCCACATCCCCCCATCACACACCCATCGTGTGTGAAGAAAACCAAAAGCAAACATCAAGACATATAGGTATTTAGAATGTATTTTATCATGATGATAGAGACACTGGTAGGCTTCCAAATTGCTTTAACACTGTAAATATACCAATAAAGCATTGCCCAACTAACTGATTCCTCTCTCTATATATAGAGGGCTGGGAGGGAGGGAGGGGGCATGCACCCAACAGGTCAGCATTTTTTAACACTATAGATGGCACCCTGGTTGAGAATCATTTTCTGAACAAAATGGCTGGCATGATCACATAATGAAGATATAAATTTCAAAATCAAAGACTCCAGAAACACATCAGACCTAAAAACCCCTGCGTACTAGAAAACCAGAACTCAGGAAAGACTTACAATACTGACTGGTGAAGTTTTTGTGCTATTGAATGAGGTACTTGAACCAGATTTGGAGTATTTTGCTAATTGATACAGGATGATTAGGCTGGTTCAGTTTTCTAGGAGAATCATCTCTGCCAAATTCATAAGTCATTCTTTAAACTGTTTTCTTCTGACACTTTCTGCATCCCACAATTTCTCTGATCACTGGCTGAATGTGGTGCTGAATTGCTTCTGCACCTGTAACTACATGCCTGCAAATTTACATCCAAGGGGCAGGCTCCCTGCCCTAGATTTCTTAGTTTAGTGCTTGACCATCCTTTTTTCTCCTAGAATAATCTTCAACCATCTTGTTCTCTCTTGCAAAGGAAAAAAACCCAACCTTTTCTATATAGAAAAGTTATATTACCCAATAACGCTCATGAGTTAACAAAATAGACAGACAGCATTGTTACTGCTAACATCCTCTACCATGGGAGAATCAGAACCTGGTATTACAGTATGCATCCTATTGCTCAGTAGTAAGTTGTATTATCCAGGAGATGCGACATTTAGTAACTGCTGTTTCAATCATCAGATAGTCTTATTAAAAAAAGAAGTTGCAACAACAGGTTATACTATCCTCTGGCATACAATGGAGTGAAATTAGGATAAAAAACCTCATGCTATCCAGTCAGGAGCTAGATAAAAAAAGCTACAAACATCTTATAGCGAATGTGCTGAGATTCGATGCAGTTTAAAAAGATTAAGTCCTTATCTCTCTCAATCAAAAGATTAATGTTGCTTAAGGGAAACAATACCTTCTGGGTTAAAATAAAAATACACCTTTAAAAAAAATAAACACTAAATAAGAAGAGATCTAGAATGATCTTCAGCGAATCCAACAAACAATATCTGAACTATTGACCTGAAGCAGCATCCAGAGACAAAGGATGTGTACATATATAAAATGAGCTCCTTAGGTGGCCCTGCATTCCCCTTAAGGAATCATTATCCTGTGGCTAGCAACTGTTCCTGACACGTCCTTTAACTGGATACAGACATACACTGTTAAGGACTTTATTTTTACCACATAACAAGAAATTAATTCTGAGAGCTCTTTAGACATGTTCCTTTAAACATACACAAACCAAACATATTAACATTAAAAAAAACCCCAAAGGAAATGGAAATTGTATGATTCTTCTGTCCACTCTTTATAAAAAGCAACGGACTTACCAAAACTTATGTTAGAAATTCAGAGCTAGATCATTCACATAATTATTTGAAAATATAATACTGAACATTAGCAACCCCAAGATGAAAATTACATTTTCAACAACCTTTGTAAAACATAGTATATGGGCTATGTCACTAATGACCCTGATACACGTTACACTTAAGACATGATTAACTGATTAAACACACATTCATTCCATGAATGGTGTGATGAAACCAGCAATAAGTGACAAAGTTATTGAAGAAAATATGTATAGTAACTTTGTCGCTGATTTCCATCACACCTTTAACTGAACATGTGGCCAGTGCTCTTGTGTGCATGGCTGCATCACATGGCAAAAGCGCAATTGTTGGGATCACACATTAGACCCCACACCACCTTCTTTTTTAACTTCTACCAGTGGCCTAGGACACAAAAGAAGCAATCTGTCTAGTGAACTGTGTGACTCCTAGTTTAATGCAGTTTTGAGTTTACCCACTAGCTTTCCCATTGAGTTATAAATAACCTTAACAGTCAAGCTTACTTTCTTTACATAATAAATAAAGGTGGATATTTTCTCACGTGCCCCCAGATAAGACACACCTGTGGTTTTGGGAAGTCAGAATGAAGAAAAATAAGTTTTTCTAATCATTGCTGAACGTTGACTGCAGGGGATCCTAACTGCACCTGGGGCTATGGAAGGGTAAACCCTGAAGGCTGAACTTGTTCTCCTCCCTCCCTGGCAAAGGGGAAGCCTGGCAGCCATCTTGAAGCATTGTCTCAATGCTTCTGTTCTAGCAAAGAAAAATCAGCTTTCCCATTTAAGACATGCACCCTAAGTTTGGAGGGCTGATTTTTAGAGAAGGGTGCATGTGGTATGCAGGTAAATAGGGTATTACTAAGGAACACTGAAGATTATTTCTACACACAGAAATTTCACTATGAAATTCTCAAAGTCTGCAAAGACAGACAATAACTTCAAGCTAAAAAATGTAAAAAAAAGTTAGGAAATTTTTGGTAAAGTTTATGTTTATGAGAAAAGGCTTAGAAGTCCAGAAATTTAAAGTTTTGAAAAATAAGTACGAGTCTGCCCTCTTATTCCACTGACAGCATAAACCTACCATAGATTACCTTCCTCTGTGCCAGACCACCTACAGCTCAATAAAAAGTTTGTATTTCCCTCTTCCTTAACAAAGAAAACAAATAATTTGTGGGCTTGATACTGAGGTGAGATCCCTTTACAGTACAAGCATATGCATACTGCTAGGTATTTCACTTTGCAGGAAAAGCAGCCTTAATGATACCAATACATAACTTCTGAGAATCCTTCATTAAGGTAACATATTTCAGTACTAAAGCAAAGACCATAAACAACCTTTGAAAGCTACAAGCAAAGGAAAATTAATATATAACAGTGAAGCATAGAAATAAAGCTGTCATTGTCTGACTGAAATCTTGGTTAGCACCAACAACAAACTTCTATTCTCCAAATATTAAAGAGACCTTGGACTTTCAAGCAGAAGTGATATTGCAATACCTCATAGGTAGTTCCATAGTGGCACGTATACTGGCACTGCCTGTTGGTCTCGGCATCTTGCTCAACGTTAGTATAAAAAATTACTCCATCTCCAGAACAGGACACAATCTGTTTGTCATTGGTGCATGGTAAGAATTTTGCACTAAAAATATTAGCTCTGTGTCCTGAGCGGATGGTTGTTAAAACCTAGAAAGGAAAGAAGAAAAGCTTGTATTAGGCTAATATTTTCAAAGCAAATAGTAATGCATGGAAAAAAAAACAACTTTTAATTTATTATCCCATGATATAGTGCCAGGAGTACAAGTACTAGTAATATACATAGCTTGCTACCCACAGAACTCTGCAAGGAAATAACGGATATACAGACATAGGCACTCTTTTGCAAAATGGCCTGAAAAATTAGACTTGGAGGGCCATTGCACAAACGTATTTTGTGAAAGAACTAGGATTCATATTTCTAGAAATCTGATGCCAGAACATGAATCGGCAGCCATTATAAGAAGTGATAATGAATCATTAGAGAGCAATAGTGACAGATAAGAGACATGAAAAAGAGGAAAAAGAGTGACCAAGCTGTCATTGACCACAAAAAAATCCAGTATGAGCATACTTTAACTGAAAGGATGATCAGCATAGTACATTTTAAAAGTATAAAGGTTACTAAGCCTCCATCGATACAGATAAACTAATGATTTTATTCAAATTATTTATCACTGGATAGTTCACAAAGAGGGCAATTAAATAGTGTGTTCATTCTAAAGACTACAAATCCTTATCATTAGCTAGATGTAGAGTCCTGGAATGGAATAAGTTTTTAATGGTGCTCCTGTTCTCTTTGAAGAAACTTCCTATTTCCAGGTTTCTCTTCTTATATTTTAACACTCCACAACTTAAACCCTGCTTATTGTTGCACTATGGACAGACTTTTTAAATAAGAAAACAAAGTCTGTTCCATCAAATTCCCACAAGACAATTCCCCTCCACCTCATTCCATTCACAACATTTATTTTCCCACTCCCTCCAACAGGCAGGCACATCCCATGGATCCTAGTGGTACTCTGCTCCCATTGCAGAGTTTGAGCTGGAAACAATGGAAAAGAAACAGATTCACACTACAGGGAACAGCAGCAGCTTCCTGTATTATGGTTCCTTAGCACTTCTCATTGCAAAAAAGAAAAAAAGTAAGACTTTTTGGAGAGCTATAATTGTGCACTAGAATAAGCCAACTGCCTTTCAGCCAGCTAAGCAGCAAAGCAAGGCCTAACACAGCCTACGTAAGAAAAGGGCCTGGGGGGTAAGGCACTTCTCTATATCGTCTTTCTTGAAATTTCCTATTACTGAACTTCCAAAAGCTGTAGCACACACTAAATGTTAATGCAGGCAGGGCAAAGACTTGTCACCAACACTACCAGCACAACAGAGGAATTAAGAAAGATGCCTATATAGAGTGACAGAAAAAGTTAAGAAGCTTTGATGCTAATTTTGAAATGGCAGTTGAATTGAGGTGACGATGCAGACAAGGGATAAGAAGAGAAGTCAGGATGACTTTCTGGAACAACTGGAGAAATGCATTACCTATTATCAGTTCTTGGGGTGGTATCCTATGAAGACTCCAGTATCTAAGAGTTAAGTACCCCTTAGCAGCCTGCCCATGCAAAACTGACATCACGGATCTTTCTCAGAGTTTGGATAATGATATCACATACATTTAGAACAAGAATAAACACGAATGGGGATGGAGTAGGGAATCAGAGTTGTATCTCTGTTGACTCAAGGGAGGGAGCTAAAACAATAATTGGGCTGTCATTCTGCCATCAGTCTCAAGAATGTTTCTTAATGGTAAATAGAAGAGACTAACAGGTGGAAAAGACAGCATTACAGCTAACAAGTTAATATTATTTCTTATTTTGCCATAATTAATTAGAATGATCTTTTAATGTATGCAGTTAAAAAACCCAGAACACACTAGGATACAAAGCGATAATTAGCCAAGTTTTAGGACACTGAAGTAGTTAAGAAACACAAATAGTCAATATGTTAAAAAATGGCTAGGCAGAGAAGCTACTGTGGATACCAAAAGGAAAAACGAAAATCTTTATCTTTTTAAACTCTCCTATGTCTGTAAACTGCCTAGCATACTGTGCATTACTACCACCTACATTATGATTTGAAACTAGAGAAGAATCCCCTCCCTTTCCACACTTTAGTTTGACATTTTTGCATGTACAAAGTTCAAAGGAAAGAAGTAGTATTCATTTTGTACTCTTCGGCACTACCTGCAACACCTAGGTTCCTTAGCATATTTTTTATCCACTGCCTGAATTAATGTGGCTCTAATGGCTTTGCACCTGTGAATCATAGCAAGAAATGACACTGAAAAACTTTTGTGTATCAGCTTTAATTGCAGGAAGACAAGCAGTGGGGGGGAAAAAAGGACCAAAGGGGCACAAGCCACAAAATCATGGACTAAATATAGACATTGGATTTATGACACATTATAACCTGCCTGACATCCCCCCCCCCCTTTCCACCCCCCTCCCCCCCCCCCCAGCCAGCCTGTCTTCTCACTCACTGACTCAATCGACATCTTCACTGACTGCCTATCTTGTATGCATACCAGCTCAGCCTCTGGCTTCTTTACTTTTCATTCCATCCAGGAAGAGAACACACCAACTGCAGAAACTTCCTCAGCCTGATGAAGGGTTTTTGAACCTGAAAGCTTGCTTAAAAATGTTTTTTCCAACTATTTAAGTTGGTCTAATAAAAGATATCTGATTCACCCAGAGAACCTTGTCTGCCTATTTCCTTACACCAACACGGCTACAACCGACACCGCCATATTTAATTAAACACACAAAACCAACACTTCAGATTTATTAAACAACCTATAAAAATAAATCAAAACATGGGGCACATTCACCACTAATTTATTAAATGCTAGTATTAACTATTATAGCATTATAGGTATGACGTGGTTATTGGATTAAACCAATTATTTTAGATTACCCTAGGGAAATTTTTCTAAAATGCCCAAGTGAAAGTCCTTTGAGCTTAAGTGCCCACTTGCCTAATGGTAGACAAGAACCTTGTCTGCCTATGTCCTTAGACCAACACAGCTACAACCTACATGCTTGCCTAATGTGCTTTAAAATGGAAGTGGTTTTTTAAAATTTTTTTTACCTAGGCTGTTTTGAAAATGTGTATCCCCTTTTCTTTCAAGTTTTTAGAACTCATAAATCTCATCCTCCTTCCCCTTTTTATTAATATGCTGGAAGTGAAAAACAAGCCTTCCTGCTTTTTCAATTCCCAATCAATTTCTCAGCTTCGAATGAACCAGTCCAAACAAAGAAAACATTCTTTCTGCACCTGCAGAAGAAGCTACTTCTGGTAAAAGCTGATTTAGAACTTTAGCAAATTCTGGTTCCAGGTGTTTTGCACCAGTTCGCTGGTGTGACTTTAGAACATCCTCAGCAAACGTATACTCCTTGAATGGTTCCTCTCTAGCCCTGAAATTTATTATGGATGATTGATGGGAGATTAGTGGGGGGTGGCATAGGTACTAAGATGAACAGTTGGCAGCCCAGAGGTTGCAGGTGTGAGGCTATAGCGGAAGAGCTCACAGCACAGCCCTGTCAGATTCCAACAAATCTGAGAATTCTGGTAAATACCTTGTCACACAAGGACACAAAAAAGGTAATAGAGCCCATGTCATACCAACATTTTCCTCTTAGGCTGTTAGTTATCTACCCTGGTAATTTGTGTTAAGAATACTGGTAAGAAAATGAAGTGGAGTAAGTGCTTGATCCATCTACTTCCTTACTACCTGCAATTCAACTTTGCTGTTGGGCATTTCTTGCTTTGTTTTTTTAAGTTCTTTCCAAATTTCAGCAGCAATCTTTCTGTACTTTGTTCGAGGCTATGGAAATAGGTTTGGGTGTATTCAGCATATCTTCTACATTTCTCTTCAGTCCAATGTTGATTACTCCAGCTGTGATACTTCCATCAGCTTGGTCATGACTTTCTTCACAGACAGTCATCAGAATAAGCCAGTTCTTAATAAATAGCTTAAAGCGATCAACCAATGAATTCCATTATATATCTTGGGGGAGAATTAGCATGGATCCCCCAGCTCTCTTCAGTAAAGCTAATGCAAACTGGCTGTTATGGAAAGGTTTTGCAATTTCAACAGCATTTTCCTTATTCCTGAAGTAGTTACATTTTAGTACCATTTACAGGTACTAACTTAATGCACCACAATTACAGTTGCATTAATGAACGTGTAGACAAGCCCAGTTTATTCTATCTTTTACTGCTGCTTCTTTTAAGTCTTCTGCAGTATGGGCCTTTCCTGACGTATCAATTGTCTGCGAGATCAACAATCATGTCTTCTGTTGTCATACAAGTACGTATTACTGGATCATTGTGTATATTACTCTATCCATCAAGATTCAAATTAACACTTTTCCCTTCAATGTTTTTTGCACACTTCAATTTCTCTCTCATACAATGTATCCAGGTGCCTTCCAGCAGTATCTGTTCTGAAAGGGTGGAGTGTAACCTGGTCATAATTACTAAACCATGTCAGTGAAATGTTTGTTCTGAACAAGATGAAAGGGAGTATTTGTTGAATAAATGAACAGAACACTCTTTTTATCTATGTTGTCTTGCTGGACTTTTCCAGTCTTGATCATGAAACTCATCTACAGTTTTACTTGACAGTGAAGAAAGTTTATTTTTTGGATACACATAATTTACTGTCTGAAGTATGTTTAGTTACAGTATTGTTGGTAGTATCAGTAGGTGATTCTGAAGTTGCAGGCATTGCAGATCATGGATGTTCATAACTTCTTACATCTAAACTGGACCCTGAAACAAGATGCGGAGAAAGTGACTCATGCTGAGTATTACTCAGTGCATTACTGTAAAAGGATTATAAATGAAAGATCCCTTCTACAGATGTTTTTTAACTAGTGCTTCAATTATAATTTTTTTCCAAACCCAGTTCTATAGGGAAAATATTCAATAAATCATAAAAGGTCCTATTTAAATCCTTTTCTTTGTCAATATACAATAGCTTGAAAAATTACATTATTATTTTAAATTCATAAATTCTTATTAAAACTTTATTCTGCACAGGATAACTTTACCTAGGGATTGTATGTTTGCTTATACTGATCAATAAACCT